TCTATTGTACATTGACGTGATAGAGCTTCGAAAACGTCTAATGGTATCGGGTAGCTTTAGCAGCACATCTCCATTCTTATGGCCAACGACAGAGCTTACGATTGATGATTCAGACTTCTTTGTAGCTGATGTAGTTAACATACACGCGGACGAAACATACGGTGAATCTCTCGCAAATATGGCATCAACAAGCACATAATAACAACTGGTACTCGATATGTACTTTGCTGGAGCGTCCTCATTGGAGGAGAGAAACGCCAAGGTGTGCGTTTCTCAGTAGTAAAGTAACATTCGCTGATACAGATTCATCTACTACAACAGCGCTTCAGAAAACGAGAGACAGAATTTCTAGCTTGAGCCGTGTGCAAGGTGTTCCCATTCCGACTGGCGTGTTTCTGACTGCACCAAAGTACTAATTTGTGCGGAATTCGCCCATCACTGTTCTTGCGTTTTTGTGGCGCTTATTGTAGCAGTTTAATTGATGCGCGGTATAGCCATGGAAAAAGTCGGCGGTGGAGAAACATCGTTAGTGCACGTGGAAGTTGCAGTACTTTAATAAAAAGGCGTCACTCACGCACACGACATGAAAGGCAAAGCTCGTACCTACGTCGTCACTAAACCCACTGTAACCTGGAATGCTAGAATAGATGCCTCCGTTGCATGAAACACACCAAGCATTCCCCGTGTGTACTCGCTAGTCTGATAACGCAGAACTTCACCGCTCCCAGACGGCGATGCCTCGCTCTACAATCGAGAACACTGGGAGAGGTAGAAGGTATGCAATCTATTACGTGCGTTTGTGAAGACTTGCACATGTGCTTCGGTGGCGCAGAGGGTGAAGCGCCCGACACATAACGTCTAGAATTCAGAGGTCGTGGGTTCCACTCCAGGGTTATATGAATAAGGTAGACTTTTCTTGTAGTCTTGTTTTGTCATTTGTTCCTGTGCTTTTCGCTGACGTCGTTTCCGTGGCGGAATTGACATCACTGAAGTCATCATGGACCCTGCCATGAAACAATTCAGCGTTGAAAACACAAACACTCAGTTTTTAGTGGCAGGGAACTCCCTTAGGGTTGTTACGAAGACGTGACGCCAAAACGGTCCCGAAGGCGCCACTGCTCCGAACTCCGCCGACACGGTCTTCAGCCGTTTGGTAGCGTGTTTTACTCAGCTCGCGACTGCTTCTGCGCAGAGCTGATAGATGAGCGAACGAGACGACGGAGAGTTAAAGCAAGGTTTATGTACAGCAAATAAATAAAGGCGTTACAAATCTGGTACTGGGGCCGACAGCTTAGGGACTCAAAGAGCCGAGATGTCTTCTCTCGCACGCATCCGTCGGCTTCACTGACACATAAGTCTACTGGTGGCGATGCGCCGGCAGGGCTGTTTTTAAGGCACCGAGTGGATCCTTTGAATCACCAAACGTCCAACTAGAAGCGCCGCTGGCCGTGATATCAGAATCCTCCAAAGGAGACCCGCCGCTGCGCGTGGTTTAAACAAGGACGAGGGATGTTGCCACGCATTGCGAAAGACTCGCCAGACTGGAAGGCGCCGATTGCTTCAACGGGCTCGTGGGCTGTGGGAGCTCGCTGTGCGTTGCGTAAGACAGACCGGCGCCGCCGCTTGATGACGTCGTTGACTCGATTGCGTCTCGAACGCTGGCTCGAGACGCAAGGCGGGCTCGAGCGCTAACCTTGACACAGATTACCTTTGCAGAGGCATTGGCGTTCAGTGTGGACTCGCAGGCGTAACAGCACCCCCGCCGCCAGACAATGCGCCGCAAGGACGAGCTGCTTCCACGTGGCTCTGATGTCGGGTGCGCTCGTTCGCCGCGTCCCTCCAGGTTTGCCTCCAGGGCCATGGGGAGAATGCAGCTCCAGACTCCGTTCCGTGAACACATCCCATTCTTGAGGACGGATCCCAGCTCCACTGGCTTGTCGCCACAGCTTGCCGGCCAGCTTCGCTCGTCTGTTCTGACAATTTTTGGTCTCAGCACTTGTCGATAGTTCTGCAACCTGTCAAGGACGCATTGACAACAGACAACACACGACACAAGCAAGTGCCCTCGGTCACCCGACAGAACACCAGACAAAGTACAGTACAACATATACATAGTTACGTGTCTATCGAAATTTCGTTCCCTCTACATCAAGAGGCACATGTGGGACAAAAGACTCTTAAAACGAGAACTCAAATTTTTACACGTACAAAAACGTAAAGGAATAGAATACAACACAATACCGCCTATTTAATCCAAGCATTATATTTCTCCTATATTTCATTGAAATCTCGCTCCTAAATTGATGAAAAAAACGACTAAAAGGAGCTCATATATATGGCACAACGTGCTTAGTACAAATGTTCGACGATTATGAGTACGCAAAGCTCTACTATGAGGACGCATCAACAAGTCCCGTGTGAAGGGAACAATGAGTACGGGCGGAAAAACGTATAATCGTTTCTAACCGAACAAAATCCCTTTTGCGATGAGTATTCTTCAACTGCCAGATATCACGAGATAGGGCAGGTTAACTGCATAAAAATTATTTCATGCCGTCAATGAGCACGAGATATTTTAGTCCGGGGTAATTGGTTTACCTCGAAGCCTCAGGGAGCACAATAATGTTCGTTTTAAACTTCTTTGAGAGATATATTCGACAATGCCTCTTGTTTTGACTGCAAATGTAATTTGGCTTAGAGATTCAGGCGCAGTAATCACACGGTCCTACTTTCTCACAGATCTTATTCAATTTTACTGACTTAGAGTGTGCCGTAATTCATGTAGCACCTGCTCCGATGGTATGCATTGCCCATGTGGGAACTACGCCTTCCGGAATGGCGTGCTCAAGCAGCGCAGTGAGCATTCCTTAGGGACGCTGCTTCTTCCTCGTAGGATTTATGAAGCGAAAGTAATAAGGCGAGCATGTGCTTCAGCTCTGAGCCGGAAGAAGATGTTCTCTTCCTGGAAATGGAACCCGTGGGAAATACTCGTACGAATTTACTCAGTTCCTTAGTGGATTTGGCGTAGATTTGAGCATGCTTCGTGCCTGAAGGGTGGAGCATCTACAAATCAGGTTATTTTATAAGCAACTTGTTGCGAACACTCGGCTAATATTTTCCGATAGTGGCGTAAAGAGCAACATGCGATTCCGCCAATGTTGGAAACAGCCAAAATTGTTAGCATCGGCCGAGGGATATGCAAATCCGGTGCTATTGAACAGCTTTCAGAGGACAAAAGTTGTTGCGGCAAGTACACTGGTAAAAGATACAGGGGCGCATTTACTATTTATCTTGTTTCGAAAGGCATCTTTATTATAAGGTAAAGGCAGACTGCTAGGGAACAGTTATTGTTTCTTATGAAGAGACAAAACATATTTGAAAGATTACCCTAAAGGTACTATCTTGTTTCCTCCCTTGGCTTGCTACTTCAAGTGTCCGATATTGACTACAGCGTATGCAACGATGACATATACAGAGAAAAAAAATAACGCGTGCACTGGTGCACATCCTTATACACTGAAGAATAATTCATGTGCAGGGTAGGAAACCGGCTGCCTATAGGCTGGTTAACCTCCCTGTCGTTCTTTTCCTTCTATTTTCCTTCCTTTTTCTTCATAAGATTTTGAGGTGTGCAGTCTTCGATAGAACTGACAGCGCTTTTGTATTTCGCATCATGCAGGCACCGCTCTTTCCCGAGCCGAGGAAGGGCCGCAGCTACAAGCTGAAGTTTCAAAATGAAGTACTGCCTTCAAAATGTGTTGCTCTGCATCGTAACGAGAACAGTTACACTAGGCGTGTTTTATGCATTCCTGGGTGTTAAATGTAAAGAAAGAGACCCGCGAATTGCTGAAAAACGTGCTGACCAAATGCCGAGCGTGCATTATTTAATTTTTGTAGTATTACGCTGGCTAGCACTAATAAGTTGCATTGCTAGCTTAGTTCGGTATACAGTAGTCGGTCACGTGATACGGCTAAGTAGAAGTCACCAACTCTTTCTTGATGGCTAGCGTGGTGAAATGAATACGGGTAATTGCTAGCTTCAATTCGATTGTCTTTGGTATTTTTGGGTTCGAGCATGCACTAATGTGGAAGCGTAAAGTGTGCTTTGGTTCTTCCTTGACAAGTCGAAACTGCTGAAGAAAGCAAGTAAGTCAGCAAAAAAAAAAAAAGCAATATGCACAGTGGCATCAAATGTATAGCCCTCCTTACTTCTCAGATTTGTGTAACCATTACTGCATTGACTGAATAAAGCTAACAGCGCCGAAGTCAATTAAGTACAGAGCACGAATCCCACCATCATGAAATGGCCACCTAAGCTGCAACATTCTGACCAGATGAGAGTTGCAATATTTGTGCCTGCAGACAGGGGCGCCAACGGCGGCGGATACTGCGGCAGCGGTCAATGCTAAATCAAACGATGTTCTTCGCTTCAAGTATAGTTGTGCTTACGTTGACTATTGCTTTTGCTGGACGGAGACGCTGCGAAGGCAGCATTTACGAGTTTATTCTCCGCGTTGAAAACAATCTTCACAGTACTTACTGTTCGACATCGCATGATTTAGTCCCGCCGTTTTTTAAAATAAAATGAAGATGATATCAAAGCTTCTACAAAAACAATAGAATATTGTGCTCACGTTTTTATAGTATGTAAATGGCAAAGCTAGACGCTAATTCCTACAACTAACACAACCGCTGCCATTCACTTCAATGCGCAGCTCCTCGAAAAGGCTCTACTTCATAGTCATTCACCACGCCATCTTTTGCGCTCATTCAGCCCGTACAAGCAGTGTCACAAACTCACAAATATCTACAGAGACAAGACTGAGAGGTAGATTCATGTAATAGCATTCATTAATAATCAAAAATGTAACGTCTGATCAGTTTCATTATACCTTATCTTCATGCGCTAGAGACTTTCACTTCATAATGGTGTTGGACAACCACTGTCACACAACTTCAATTCGCGAGGCCAACTTTTTGTACGAAAAGTACGTGTAATGATGAAGCGCTACGGCAAAGGTAAGCTCACTAGCCTCGTAAGCTATATGAAATTGTATAAGGCTGAGTTCCTGCAAGAAACCATGTGATATACATTTACCAGAGAGCACGAGGTTCATAAAAGTTGGTTGGTATGGTATGTGGGTGAAATGTAGGTGAAGACACATGACGAGGGAAGAAGATACCTTTGGTCTAGTTAAGGCACATGAACCACAAATTTCACAGAAGTATTACGCAGTGATGATAAAATGTTACTCAGTGTTATACAATGTGTCAGACAGCGCATAAAAATTTGAGGACCAAGGAAAAAAAAACGACCAACATGTGTTCTCGTCGCTCTTTTGCTCGCGATAAATTTTTCGGGGTTTTTATTTCGTTCAAAGGGGATGCACATCCACTTCCCCAATGAAGCCTTCTTATGCATAGACAAGGTTCAAACAGGCACTATGCTTAACAGGGCACAGTCTTAAATAAAAAGATCAGCAGAAAGGGCACTTTTATAATAAAACGCTGAAAACAATAAAGACAATAAACGTCCGCATGAATAAAATACATTGTCTCAATTGCCTATTCACACTTTGAAGTATCATATAAGAGCACAAATTGTATGATAAAAATTGGCGTGAAAAAAGAGCGTAGACGCTAAATACTAACCATCCGTCTTTTAGTCGAGCCGTGCATACGCACGTAATTGTTTTTTCATAGAGATTATTTTTTATATTATTTAAAGCTATTGCTCAACTGCATCGCTAAAGCAGTGTTTCTAGTCTTCAGTATTTGAATATATTGCCTTGTTAACCAGTTAATCTAACTTCAAGAATTTGCGAACATTTGTTATTTGGGTGACGAAGAATAAAGCCTTGTGAATTTTCAATGCAATGCGGCAATACAATATGTTGTCTCTCAAGAGTATATGGGCCCGCATAGCACTAAGAAATTGAGTCGGACTCGCTATCGAATAATCAAAGTTCTTTATTGATAGGAGAAATACACTGTACTGTTGAACTTCCCAGAAGTGCTCGTCGATGAAACTGTATGGGAATATACATAACAACTTACGAATGAGAGAAAAGAGAACGTGTTAACGGAAATGGAGACGTTCAGCCTACGCAAGAGGGAGCGAGAAAGCATGACGAGCGGTGGCAGGAAGCAAGTATAGAAAAGCAAGGCGATTGAGTAATAGGGGTGATAGATTAACACCAATAGTCCACCGCCAATCCTTGACTGCCTCCACTTTCAGTGTGAAGGTAGTTTAGTCCTCAGTATACGGTTGTCTGTTACTACAGGTTTTCCCGCTCAATTTAATCCAAGCGCCAGCCAAATTAATCTAGGCGCCAGTCAATTTAATCCAGCCACCACTGAAATTAATCCAGGTGCCATTCATTTTAATCCAAGTGCCACTGAAATTAATCCAACCGCCAGCCGATTTAATCCGGACGCCAGTGAATTTAATCCTGATGACATTGTGACTTCAAAACGACCCAGAATTTTCGGGAATGCGTGGAGTGAATAGCTTTGGAGTGAATTTAACAGGGAAAAGCCATGAATGAGTCACTGCATAGTGACACAATGCGACTCGCGCGGCTTTATCACGCCTATCACCCGCGTAAGCACTATTCACACCTTCGACATGCATATCAAAGGCCACGCCGTCCACACAGTAATAACTTGATAATTATTAACCAGGCCAATGATCTCATCACGAGTGACTTAGGTGACGTCCTCACGCATATCACCCACGCACGCACTGTCTTAACCTTCCGTCATGCATATCAAATGAAACGTCTTTGAAAGGGCGGGACTTGATACCTAAAACTCGGCCAAGTCACCTGATAACCAGTTCCTCAGGGGACGTCATCACAAATATCACCCGCACACGTAATTTACTCGCCTACCGACATGCATACCAAACGAAACGTCTTTGAGAGAGCGATAACGTGTTACCTATGACTCGGCCAACTCACTTGATCACTTGTGATTTAGGTGACGTCATCACGCCTATCACCCACGCACGCAATGTCTAGTCTGCCATCATGTATACCAAACGAAACGTCTTCGAGAGGCTAATAAATTGAACGCTATCAGTCGGCAGAGTGACGTGATCACTAGTGACTCATGTGACGTCATCGCGTTTGACACCCACGCATGCAGCGTCTAACCTGAGTTCATACATATCAAACGAAACGTGTTTGAGAGAGTAATAACTTGAACGCTGTCACAAGGCCCAGTGACGTCATCACTAGTGACTGGCGTGACGTCATCTCGCCTAAGACTCACGCAAGCACTCTATAATGTGCCTTCATGCATATCAAACAAAACGTCTTTGAAAGGGTAATAACTTGAATGCTGGCACTAGGCCGCGTGACGTCATCACTAGTGACTCACGTGACGTCATTACGCCTATCACACGCACACGCAGTGTCCAAACCTGTCTTCATGCATATCAAACGAAATGTCTTTGAGAGAGTAATAACTTGAACGCTGTCACAAGGCCCAGTGACGTCATCACTAGTGACTGGCGTGACGTCATCTCGCCTGACACCCACGCACGCGGTGTCCAAACCTGTCTTCATGCATATCAAACGAAATGTCTTTGAGAGAGTAATAACTTGAACGCTGTCACAAGGCCCAGTGACGTAATCACTAGTGACTGGCGTGACGTCATCATGCATGACACCCACGCACGCAGTGTCCAAACCTGTCTTCATGCATATCAAACGAAATGTCTTTGAGAGAGTAATAACTTGAACGCTGTCACAAGGCCCAGTGACGTCATCACTAGTGACTAGCGTGACGTCATCGCGCCTATCCCACACGCACGCGGTGTCCTAACCTGTCTTCATGCATATCAAACGAAATGTCTTTGAGAGAGTAATAACTTGAACGCTGTCACAAGGCCCAGTGACGTCATCACTAGTGACTGGCGTGACGTCATCACGCCTGACACCCACGCACGCAGTGTCCTAACCTGTCTTCATGCATATCAATCGAAATGTCTTTGAGAGAGTAATAACTTGAACGCTGTCACAAGGCCCAGTGACGTAATCACTAGTGACTGGCGTGACGTCATCATGCATGACACCCACGCACGCAGTGTCCAAACCTGTCTTCATGCATATCAAACGAAATGTCTTTGAGAGAGTAATAACTTGAACGCTGTCACAAGGCCCAGTGACGTCATCACTAGTGACTAGCGTGACGTCATCGCGCCTATCCCACACGCACGCGGTGTCCTAACCTGTCTTCATGCATATCAAACGAAATGTCTTTGAGAGAGTAATAACTTGAACGCTGTCACAAGGCCCAGTGACGTCATCACTAGTGACTGGCGTGACGTCATCACGCCTGACACCCACGCACGCAGTGTCCTAACCTGTCTTCATGCATATCAATCGAAATGTCTTTGAGAGAGTAATAACTTGAACGCTGTCACAAGGCCCAGTGACGTCATCACTAGTGACTGGCGTGACGTCATCATGCCTGACACTCACGCACGCGGTGTCCAAACCTGTCTTCATGCATATCAAAGGAAACGTCTGTGAGAGAGTAATAACTTGAATGCTCTCACTAGGCCTAGCGACGTGAATACTAGTGACTCATGTGACGTCATCACGTCTATCACACACGCACGCGCTGTCCTAACCTGTTTTCATGCATATCGAACGAAACGTCTGTGAGAGAGCAATAATGTTATACTTATGACTCGGCCAACCGACTTGATCACTATTGACTCACGTGACGTCATCACGACTAACAGTCATGCAAGCACTAACTTTAACATTAACTTGAAGGCCGTTGCAGGCAGCGTCTGCTAGTAAAAAACTAACTTCTCGCGCTGCACAGCCGTTCACCAGCTAACCGGTATAAGTAGGCACCAGGTAGCGCGTTTCGAATTCAGTCAAAGGCGTCTTTACATGGCTTTTGTTTGACGTGACGCTTTTCTTGACTCGTGTAGATGCGATGGAAGCAACAGTACTTTCAAGCAGCAGTGTGGTACAACCCAACAACAGTGTCACATCGCTCGTTGAGGGCAGCGCTTCTCCTTCATTCAATAAATAGAAATAATGAAGTCGAAATGACAATTAAGCATTTTACAAACCATACTCAATTACGCAACATTCAACCGATACCCTCACCTCCCTGCGACACGTTTACTCCAGATCGTCGTGTGGGTAGATGTACGCGTCTTTTTTGTTGCTTCTCGTGTTTCGTAGAATGCCTTGAAAATGCGGGCAGCCAGGCCGCAATACTGTGAACGGACAGGCGTTCTACACTAAACAGGCACGCTTATTCCAAGCACACTAACCTATAAGAAACGGCGTGGCGTAGAATGTAGAAAGGAAGGCACGAGTCAGCCACCGCATTGAATGGCGCATCAGCAAATGGCCAGTTGCAAATAGCAATAGTATGTATCTCAAGTATGGGGACTGCCCTCTATTACAACGAATTTGTTTCACAGGGTAACCAGATGAAATAATTGTTGAGCCGAAGGAGTGGTAGACAAATCTTTTTGTAGCAAGCTTTGAAGCAGGCAGACCGTGCGTCTTATGCTTGATTAAGGATATACAGTGTTATGACTATAGCCGAATTATATGCAAACGCCTGTTTCGTTTCTTGTGCTCATATCGTGTCATTTTGACACGTGAGCACAAATAAGAGGGCGAGGAGAGCTTTTATAGTGCTTTTATAGTGCCTATATATACCTATTTCGGGCGTTGCAGCCTCAATCCGTATAGGTGCCTGTAAATGTCTGTTTTCAAAATCGATGCCTATATAAACGCTATTTAACCTGAAATTTTGCTTTCAAGTACCACTGAGCCCGGTATTCATGTTACCGGGCAAAATGTAGGTTTCGGGACACTGTGTGGTGCAAACTACTCTTTATTTCACGAGTTACGTTTAGAACTGTCAAACTCAGAAGGCATTTTAGCCAAGAGGGAGGTAGACTAGCCTCTACACATGTATACCATCCATGTCGCGTCGTCTGCTCAGCCTCTTTCCAGTGTGCGCTCAGATGCGTA